TGGTTATTTCAGCGGGCAGGACTGGCCTAGGGGTATTTTAATTGGTTTTAACAAAATTTTAGTAGAAGCGGCCAATTCAAATATTTATTCTTAATCATTTTTAAATTTTGTATGGTATTGTACTATTGTTTTTAAACTGGCTGTAAGCCGCCCTGAGTCCTCCGGGAGAAGGGCGGGGTATAAATTTAATAAAATGAAAAAAAAATGAAATGAAAATATTCCATTCTATTCTATATCCCAATATCTATTCTATTCTATTCTATTCTATTCTATTCTATTCTATTCTATTCTATTCTATTCTATTCTATTCTATTCTATATTCCATTCTATATTCCATTCTATATTCCAATATCTATTCTATTCTATTCTATTCTATTCTATTCTATATTCCATTCTATATTCCATTCTATATTCCATTCTATATTCCAATATCTATTCTATTCTATTCTATTCTATTCTATTCTATTCTATTCTATTCTATTCTATTCTATTCTATTCTATTCATGTTCCTGTAGAAATGGAATACAGAGTTCACCTATTAATTCAAAACTAAATAAACATAATGAATCTTCTGACCTGTAGAATCGTCATGTCGGGTCGATATTGCTTCCTAAGGCCCATATCGAACATCAGGAACTTCAGCATCTTGAAGGCTTCTTCTTCGCTCATGTGCAGCAACAACACCCCTGCCACAAAACTGAGGCCTTGACAATAGCCTACTTCCTGATCCAGGAGGGAATACGCCTTCAAGATATTGTAGAGAGAGAGCTGTCCAGCTCCAAGCTGGGCTGAGAAGTAGGGATGTGTCGGGAAAGTGCGTCCTATGGGAAAGAGGAAAAAAGAGAAGGCCGTACTGTCATACAAACACTTTCCAAATATTAAAAAAACAAAAAACAAAAACACAATTCATAGAATAGAATAAAATAGAATATAGGAATGGAGTAGAATAGAATTGGAATAGTGCCATAAAATTATATATCAATGGAAAGATAATTTAATCAAGTATGTAATGCAACCAAGTTTGTTCAATTATCTGTACTGCGTTCTATGAAAAGTTATAATCAAATAACCAGAAAAAGGAAGCCCAACTTGCTTAGGTTGATCTCAGGTAGCTTTCCTTCATCTGATTGTAGCCAATGAGCATGAGTGTTTAGAGAGCCAATCGGGTGTCATCTTGTTTTGCCAATGAGCCAATCAGATCACAGTAGGATTCGGTTCTTGATGTCATGTATTGAAGCCAAGAGGAGGACGTTTGTCAGTGTGTTATGTGATCGCTATCAGGTTGGTTGGGGTTTTTTTGTGTTCTTTCATTGAGTGAGCTTGTAAAACGTAATAAAATTAAAGTCGTGGTGCAAAGAGTTGACTGGTCGCCCAGAAAGCAACGTAAAATAGTCTTATTAAGTGAGCAAGGCTACAGTTATAAAGAAATTAGAAGAAAAATGCGTGGAAACTTAACCAAAGGTGGCATTTCTACGGTACGCTTTTCCCAAAAGGTTTCCACGATTTTGGCCACTACTGTAAATATGGCACTCGTCTGAATTTTGATCAAACGACCATGGGGATACTGCAACGGTCGCAAGCGTGAAAACCCATAATAAGTTACTTTTTTCCGTAACTTCAAATAGTCAATAAAGGGTTTTTAAGTGGAGGACCATCTGTAGAAGATTTTAAGGGCTGAAGACCATTGGCCACCAAGACACTTCTTCAATATATCACCTAAATATGGTGATATACTCTTCTTCAATCACCTAAATAGGAGCCAGCCGTGTGCTGCAGCTGCCAAAAAGGCCAACACAGTGCTAGGCTGCATTAACAGAGGGATAGAATCAAGATCACGTGAAGTATTAATACCACTTTACAAGGCCTTGGTAAGGCCACACTTGAAATACTGCATCCAGTTTTGGTCACCACGATGTAAAAAAGATGTTGAGACTCTAGAAAGAGTACAGAGAAGAGCAACAAAGATGATCAGGGGACTGGAGGCTAAAACATATAAGGAACGATTGCTGGAATTGGGGCTGTCTAGTTTAACGAAGAGAAGGACGAGGGGGGACAAGATAGCAGTCTTCCAGTATCTCAGGGGCTGCCCCAAAGAAGAGGGAGTCCAGCTATTCTCCAAAGCACCCTGAAGCAACGGATGGAAACTCACCAAGGAGAGAAGCAACCTAGAACTAAGGAGAAATTTCCTGACAGTTAGAACAATTAACCAGTGGAACAATCTGCCTCCAGAAGCGGTGAATGCTCCAACACTGGAAGTTTTCAAGAAGAGACTGGACAGCCATTTGTCCAAAATGGTATAGGGTTTCCTGCCTGAGCAGGGGGTTGGACTAGATGGCCTCTAAGGTCCCTTCCAACTTTATTATTATTATTATAAGAGGCAAAACTGGGTTAGGGGCTGGGAAAGGGTATTTTAATTTTTATTTATTTTTCCCATTTCTGAACCGCCCCTCCTTCAAAGGATGGACACAGGGAATCCACATCGGCACTGCCTTGGTTACCAACCAGCCGCTAATCGTGGAGGCAGAAATTGCCCAGGAATCGAATCTGGGTCTTTCGACACTCCTTTAGCTAGAGGCTAAAATATATAAGGAACGGTTGCTGGAATTGGGGGCGTCTAGTTTAACGAAGAGAAGGACGAGGGGGGACATGATAGCAGTCTTCCAGTATCTCTGGGGCTGCCCCAAAGAAGAGGGAGTCAAGCTATTCTCCAAAGCGCCTGAAGGCAGGACAAGAAGCAACGGGTGGAAACTAACCAAGGAGAGAAGCAACCTAGAACTAAGGAGAACAATTGACCAGTGGAACAATTGACCGGTGGAACAACCTGCCTCCAGAAGTGGTGAATGCTCCAACACTGGAAGTTTTTAAGAAGAGACTGGACGGCCATTTGTCTGAAATGGTGTAGGGTTTCCTGCCTGAGCAGGGGGTTGGACTAGATGACCTTCAAGGTCCCTTCCAACTTTATCATCATCATCATCATCATCATCATCATCATCATCATCATCATTATTATTATTATTATTATTATTATTATTATATCCCACAGTCTAGTCAGACGTAAAACCTCTTTGCAAATGCATAACCTTCCGAGTTTTAATATCAGAGTTGCTGGCGGGCAGACTTACCTAAATCAATCAGAATTGCATGCTGCTGGGAAGTCAGCTGTTTCAGGAGCTCCTTGTAAGGGGTGTCCTTCGGCTGTTGCTTATTTGGAAATGGGTGCTTGAGTTGGTGCAGCTCTGCTAAAAATTTCCATATCTCCCCCCGTTGCTGCCGAGGAACTCCTTTTCGAAAAAAGATTTGAAGAGCGAAAGAAAGAACAGCAGGGAATGAGACTAGGTGCCAACACACACACACACACTACGGTACTCGGTATTTACAAGCTTCCTGCTTTAAGAAGAAATCATTCCGTGCTATGGGGAGGTCCGTCTGGAAGGACCTTGAAATGCTGCTAGGATAAGCTCATTTATCCTGGAGGTGAGTTAATGCCATCGGCAAGGAGCAAAAGGAGAGGAATATGGCTCTTGTGCTCTCTGAGCTGGGCGGCTTTCTCGCAGATGTTTCATGACCCAACTAGGTAACATCATCAGTGCTAGAAGGGAGGGGGGTCTGCAGAGAGGAGGAGGAGGAGGACGACGACTGTGGGGTCCTTGGTGCTCTCTGAGCTTGGTGGTTTTCTTGCAGACGTGTCATTACCCAACTAAGGAACATCATTAGTGCTAGAAGGGAGGGGGGTTTGCAGAGAGGAGGAGGAGGAGGAGGAGGAGGAGGAGTGGGAGGAGGACTGTGGGGTCCTTGGCACTCTCTGAGATACTAATTCACTTTCCGAAGTGCCAACATATCTCCATCCCTCAAGAATTAGATTCACTCACCTTTCTCAACAGCAGCGTGTATTTTGTCCATGTCAAACTTCATCTTCGATCTTCCTGGTGTGTTCAGCATTTTATCCCAAACCGACATTACTTCTTTGAGGCACGGGGTGATT